ACAACACATCTTCCTGAAGTTTCAATTGAATTAAAAATTTTACAGGCCAACATGAAAAAAACAAAATACAAGCACGAAATTAAGTTTAAAAGACTGAAATGCAAAATTGTAATGATTTTTTAAGTTAGACATGAGATTTCAAAGCAATGTCCAACTTAAGTCTGGCTTCCACATCCCTTGAAAGACACAAGTACTGACTTTGGCCAGTAGGAGATTTTAATTTTAGAAACATAATACACATTAAAAGTTTATGAGATTGAAAACCAACATCTGAATAGCAACTACAGTTCTATGCTTCTTATGAGACTCTAGAATGGGTCTATGCAAAATATTTTGGAACCAAGGAAGTTACTGTCATATTTTGAAAATGTTGACTTTCTGGAGGAAATGGCAGAAGTGCTAAGAGATCCAGACTGGTTTAAATAAATGATCTTTAAAGAGAAAAATCTGTGGCTTTGAGCTCTTTGGAGGCTTGAATAGATGAAAATATTTTATGACGATTTGCTCATTTCTCCTGGTAGTAAAGGGCAAACCACTTCTTTACAGAATGAATGCAAGATGTAATAAAATAGTATGTGATTTAGACTTGGTTTTAATTCTAGATTTGGAACTTGGATAAGGAATTAAAGTTCTCTGGGCCTCACTGTTATCATCTTGAAAGTATGGCAGGTACAAAAAATAAAGGAGTTAATAGTGGATGTACACATGTCTGTAAATGGAAAAATGAGACCTGTTGAAACTATTCCAGGAATGGGAGGAGTAAGGAAAAAGGAGAATGATGGAGGGGGGTGAATTCAACTATGATATATTTGGTCTATTGTGTAAATGTCACAATGTACCCCCAGCACAGCAACAACAAAATACTGGATCAATATTTGCCTTCTCCTGTTTTTTTTTTTTTTCCCTTCTGTTTTTGATGCTGCTGTTTGTTTGTTTTTCTCATCTTCCGTATTTTACCATTTCTTTTGTGCTTGGGAAGTCAACAAAGAATTGTAATCTCTGTTTGAATGGAAAAGTTGTGTTCTAGATTAGGTCAGACCAAATGGCCTGTATCTCAACCAGTAATGTGATTTCCTCTGATGATCTAGGAAAGCATTTATTAAGGAAGCCTTTAGAGAAATGATCCACTACAAGATATGTAAATGTATTTAGATCTTACTGTTTACTGTCACTTTCAAGCTGAAAATACACAAAAAGATGACCTAGAAACAAGCACAGAAAAGCTTTGTGGCATTTAGATGCACATCCCATATGCATAATTGGTTCCTAAAAAGGTTAAATATCCTTAGCATATGTATGGATAGTGATAGGTCCATGATGAGCTCCTAATTATTATGCCATTGGCTTTGTTTTACATAATTCTAAAGTAAATGTCATGTTTCTTCTTTGGGAATTCCAGAACTGGTATTCAGAAAAGCATATGTTTCCAAGTAGATAGCTGGGCAAAGGAGCTACACTTCCCCAAACAGAAAGGCCATTCATGTAGCTCCTATACTAAGCTTTATAAAGCACAGACTGCCACTAAATTCTCTTTGGAATTGAAATGCAACTACATATTGAGGACAAGTACTAAATATAAACAGAAAAGGCCAAATACATTTCTTTATTTTTTTGCTTTGTTTTTGCGGTATATTTACAGAAGAATTAACTACCTTAAACACACTATAATCCTTAGATGAAACACACAAATCAGGCAACTTGATCCTTCAGCTTCTTTTTTCAGAAGCTTATTGTAGTTCTAAAGGACTGGTCTTTTCTTATGCTCACATACAATTGCAAAGATGCTAAGAAAATTAATTTAAAAAGCATGTCGCTAAGAGATATGCTGAATGAAATACTACTGTCTATGCCTTAAATATGAGAAAAAGTAGGTAACATGTTGTCTAAGGGGTAAATAAGAAAGGGGTTAAAAAATCTATGTAAATGGCAATAATTATTATAAACATTCAAGATATGAGTTTCTTATTTGGGGAAGAAAGGAAATATACACACAAGGATTTTCTTTGTAAGAATATTCCACAGGTCTTTATTAGTTTAAAATATTGTACAATATTTTAGACATACTACATTTCTTAATATGCTATATTTTCCAATTTAACAATGAGAAAGGCAAAATATCGAAACACAAAGAGAAAGCACAAATTTAAGATGATTAAAAAGCAATATAGTAATAAGAGTAAATATATTAATCTTAGATTTAAGGATATATATATTCATATATTATTTTTTAAATTTACATTATAGACCATGTGTAAGAAACAGCTAAAACATAAAGCTCTGGAAGATATGAAAGTAGAAAGATGGGAGAAAGGTATATCAGAAAATGCTAACAAAATAAAAAAACTAGCTATGGAGGTGATGGGAGAACTGGACTTTAGGACAAAGTGCAAAGTATATTCTGTCTCCAATTCTGTTTCCTCTTTCATCCTCTGACCATTCTATGCCCAGGAACCTGTTTCTAACATCCCAAGACTTTTGATAAGTCATCTCCATCTATTTTTGTCTTATTCTAGACTAACCATTTTCAAAACTTAGGATGTTTGATCTCTCAATTCTGGTAGTGATATTATCTATGCACCAATGATTTTATACTTCTATGCTGGTTTTTGTGTTGTTTATATTCCTGCATTTCTTTAATTAAAGTATAGTGGCTTAAAGCTAGAGTCCATCCTTATTCTTTTTGAAATACCCCTGTTCCTCACACTAGGGACCTGACACATGGTAGACTCATGCGTCCTAGCATTATCTTACTGCAGAACATCAAGAAACATGTCAGTGATCTACTGGAAAATAACTTCTAAAATCATGTCAAAAGCTCTTACAGGATGTTTGAGGATTTTGTTAATGCAATGATTTTATATTTTTAAGCAATCTCTCAGCCAAAATTTTTAAATGGATGGAGGGAGAGAGGCTCACACTATGGTTAGAGAGTGATTCAAAGCTGTGTATACTGGGTGAGACTGAGATCAGAGCCCTAATAGGAGGGTGCCTTCCTCTGGACAGAGCTGAAAATTCCCATAGGGTCATCATAATTTTCTTTAAGAACAGAGATCACATATAATTTTGCATGCACATCTGAAACAAAGTCCAGCATTTGATATATAATCAATCGATTATTCTTCAATGTGTGAGACAATTATGCAATTCACTCCCATTGGCTCAAAACAACAGGTTGTTCAAAGTTTCCAGATGTGGGTCCTTAACTCTGACTTTCAGAGGAAGAAAGTGACTGGAGGGTGGAAGAGTCTGACAAGACACTTATTGACACTTTGAGGATCAGGGTTGATTGGAACAAAGATGACTAGTGGACTACGCTTGGATACAAACAACAGATGCTTCTTTCATTTTACAACTTATCCCATAGTTCTTTCCATTTTTTATTTTATTACCTTTAAACTCTCAGTCTCTAATACTGACAGTTCCCAGCATTTGTTATGTGTGTGAGTGACTGAATGATTTTATAGTAGTTTCTAATTCATTCTCAACTAAAATGTCACATACTAACAGGCTTTTAGAAGTACCTTATTTTGAAGCCTACCTCTCACATGCATTTTTTCCTATAAATATCTTATGCATCTTTCAAAGTTCATTCTCCAAAAATTCATCTTGCAAGGGCATTCTTTGAATATTGACTCTCAGTTTCTTCTCCAGTGTCATCTCTGAACTCTTGCTATTTTTTATTGGTGTCTAATTTTCATTTGTTAATATTATAACCATAAATATGCAATACTATTCATAATAATTTTATTGAGCATTTATTTGTGCAAGACAATTTATTTGTTAAGCAAATTGTATGCCTGACCTTATCAATTGCTACAACAGAGCACGGCAGGTGACTGAGTGAAAGAGCACACGCTTACCATTATGAGGCCCTGGGTTTCATTCTGAGTATCACACACACACACACACACACACACATCCCTACAAACATCTATAAAATAAGTAGCCTTATAATACTCGTAGAATACTTGTCAATGCCCACATCACCTTGAGATCATGTGTAGACCATTTCCTTACATGCCAATGGCTTTGGCATCTTGTTACCTGAGTGGTTTCTGGTCAATATGGTGGGTAGTAGATCAGGAATGCCCACACAGTGGTGCTCCAGGAGTGATCTTTAATGAATGAGATGTGGACATTGATGGATAAATATTCCCCTTAGTGAGAAAATCTTGAGTTGTGCTTTTCACTATTATTTCTAGAATTCCTATGTGGCTAAACCTCAGTTGCCCTTATCAGTAAACCCCCTTTAAACTCACCTTTTTTTACCCTTTTTCCCTTCATTATCTCAATTTCTCACTTCCTTACTTCCTGGAATCACCATCCAAATAAACTATTTACACTTAAGTCTCAGCCTTGCGATCTGTTTTTAGGAAAATCAAACCCAATGAAAGAGGCTTAAAGTCCTTGAGTAATTTGTTCGAGTATCTATTCACCTACACAGCAGAATCAGGATATGAATCAGAAGCCAACCTCAAAAGCATCCATCATCCCTTACTGCTAAGTAGATGGTAAGTGGCTCAAAGCAGGCCAATGAACACACAAGCAAATGTCAGAGCTTACTTCTGTTGTTCAATGCCATTCTATGTTTGAGGGCATCTCTGTTCACCACAGCACATCAGGACATACATTTTAGGTGCCATAAGTTAAACACAGATGCTTATAACTTGTTACTGAAAATATGAACTAAAGAAGAGTCACTAATTATCTTCTCCTTGTTTCTCTACAGATAGCAATTTTATCCTGGCCAATGCCCAAGTGGCAAAGGGTTTCCCCATAGTCTACTGTTCTGATGGCTTCTGTGAGCTTGCTGGATTTGCCAGAACTGAAGTCATGCAGAAGAGTTGCAGCTGCAAGTTTTTATTTGGGGTTGAAACCAATGAACAACTGATGCTTCAAATAGAAAAGTCACTGGAGGAAAAGACAGAATTCAAAGGAGAAATTATGTTTTACAAGAAGAATGGTGAGTTGGCTTTCTTTGGTACTTACTGGAGAGTATGAAAGATTGCCTTGCTTCAATTCAGTAATTTCTCCGTAAGTCCCATTAAGGCTTACTGGTATTTTGCATAAATATGGTCTTCTACAGAAGTTCCAGAAATGACTTAGATGGTAGCCTTCTTTGAGCCATTAGCAGCATAAACTACCTAGAAATTTAACATTAGAATTATAATATTCAATATCAATATATAAATTTAGTTGGTATTTGTTGTTAAAACAAGGTACATTACTATTACATTATGGTCATTCTTACAATATACATTATATATAATTAGTGTAAATATATTAATAGATGGGCTTTTTTCCCAAATTTTGTACTTTTTAAGTAACATTTCTCAAGTTCAGTCATTAAGGTTAGAGTTCCAAAGATTCACTAGGAAAAAAGGAAGTTAATTATAAGATATCAGACTGAGCCTTTTCTTTCACGGTTCTCTGGATACACAGACTTTTTCACTATTCTCTTAAATTCTAAAGACAAAAGGAGACACATGTGGGATCTCAGGATAAAGTGAATTTGTCTGGACCCCAGTGGAGAAATACCAAGTTTTTGTTTTGTTTTTTTTCTTTTTCTTTTTTTTTTTTTTTTTTGTGGCTTCAGTTTTGTGACCTGAACAAGGACCTGGAGTATTCTATCTGTAGTTAGGTTGACCATGTGATCAAATATATGAAAGGAATGATTTATACAACTTAATAAATTTCCTAAAAGTCAAATTGTGTTCCCTGAATTTTTTTCCTCCTGACCATCGTACTGTGGTCAGAATTGTGTTCTGACAAAAAACTGTATATTGAAGCTATAACTCTCAATGAGATTATATTTGGGAATTAGGCCTTTAAAAAGGTAATTAAGATTTAATGAAGCTGTAAGATTGAAACCTTAATCCAGTATGACTTCTATCTTGTAAGAAACAGAAGAGATATGAGTGGAAAACATGCCCACAAGGGGGAAAGGCCATGGCGATGCAATAAGAAGGCAGATCCCTGCAAGCTAAGGAGAGAGGCCTCATAGAAACCAAACCTTACCCTTGGACTTTCAGCCTTCAGAATTGTGAGAAAATAAATTTCTGTTGTTTAAGCCATGCAGAATGTGGTATTTTGCTGTGGCATCCCTAGAAAACTAATACACATGGATGAGAAAGTTAAGTCAAAGCTTGAAAACCAGCTTCAATCATTTGACAAAATCAACACCATATTGGAAGGCAGGGCCAACATGGTGGAAGGAAATTGGACATTATTACAAATCCACCTTTCTACCTCAGACAAAAAACAAAAATATTGCTATCTTGTTTGAGTCCCTAACTTTTTGGATCTTTATATAACAACATTTAAATTATACTCTATCTCAGAGTTCCTCACCCATGTCACCATGGACATTTGTTGTGGTAGGCTATCCTGTACATTGTAGAGGTTTAGCAGGGTCCTGGCCTTTTTATCTTAGTCTCAGTCCTTTAAGGATACTGATGTCTATAGTAAGAAAGCAAAAAAGGAGTCTGCACATGGAAACTTCATACCCTTTTATAATGTACTTGTCCTTAAAGGACATTCCCTGATCATATGGCTTTTAGATTCACAGTATTTATGACGTGTTGGAGAACACCCCTCTGGAACAAGGTGCCCTAATTCTTTGGCACTATTTCCTCTTAGTGTCAATAGATAAGGCCTAAATAGCAAATATGATAAAATAAAAGGATTCTAGTTCTATGTAATTATACCACAATCATTGAAAAGAGGGTCTGAGATAAAAGAGACTGGAAGATGTTGCTGAGAGTGCAGACTGGCAGGGAGTGATAAAAATGCCATCCGGCAGGACAAAGGGAAAGGCTGTCTTTTGTCTGAAATATCCGCTGACTTCAGACTCATCCTTAGGATAGAAGCCTTTCATAGGTCATTCTCAATACATTTGTGTGTCTTGCTTTTTATGCCTTTTCAAAATATCCAAATGTGCTACTACTGAGAAATGCTTAGACAGAAAGGTGGAGAGTCCAGGTGTGAAGAACAAAGGACAGAGATGTTGGAGGCTCAACAGGTGAAAGTATGAAGCCAAAATGCAAAAGAATTTCCTGACCTCAGTTTCTTCTAAGATGTCTGCAGCCCTGGATGCACATGGATGGAAATGATTAAAGACACCATCCCCTTTAAGCAGTCACCATGAAGAATTGTCTGACATTCTGAGTAAACTAATTGATCCAGTTACCAGTGATTGAAAATTGCTATTTACCCTATGCTAATCATGCTATATTATAGCTATTTATATAAATATATGTCTCTACATACAATTGTGAGTCTTTGAAAACAGACTATGCCTTAGTGACTTCCATATCCTCAGGGCCTGGAGACTTGAATCTTGAGTAGCATTTGTCAGATGGTAGCCTCTTACTAAATGTTGCTAAGGGAACTTAAAATTGACTATTAGAGGGGCTGAGGCATACTTGACAGGATGTCTGGATTTCTGATTTTTAAAAATATGTTTATGACCTCAGGAGTCTTTTTCCTCTCCTTCAAGGATCATTTAACCTAACATTCTTTAGATAGCCTCCCTCCCAACCCTATTGGTATAGTGAGTCCTGGCTGGCCCAACTGTCTGATACTCCCCTTAGGCATTTACAGCTGAGTTTTGTGGCTGGTGATGCTCTCCAAATGACTACTTCCCTTTAGATCTTGCAGTCTCCATAGATCTTCATGATGTCACTGATCAGGACATTCACTATTCTTTACCATCTTCAACCCTCCTCTTGGGAAAGTAATAGGCAAATAGACCCATCTCTCACTCATCAAAGCAAAGTGAGTCTTTGAGTCAAGAAACATGTACATCCCTTTATCCCATTAATTTCCTCAAAAGCAAGAAGTCACCTCCATATTGGCATAGAATTAGCCTGGCAAGCAGCTTCTGTCAACAGTTTCAAATGAGAAAAGAAAATGGTTCCTTCTTCCTGCAGTGTTTCCAAAAACTATCCAACATAGTTTCACCATGTTATAGGGGTACTATCTCTAGCATTTCCTGCTCTTTCTCAAAATCCCTCAGGCTGAGAATGAACAATTGGTGTTGTCTGTCATATTTGTTTTCTCCCTGACTGTAGCTTCTTGGCTGAACTTTAATGGTTATGACTTGTGACTTTTCTATATCATGAAAGACTATAATGATTGCATCAATCAGTTCCTGCCCTTATGTATTCATAATATATCTTCTGTATAGAAGCCTATTTTCTTATTAAATAGGTCCAATAATTTCACTTGCCTTCCCTGGGGATCCCTGCCTTCTTGGTGTCTGTGAACAGAAAAGCTGCTAGCGAACAATTTAAGGGGGAAATTAAAAGTGAAGATGTTTTCCTGGTGTATTAGATTGTTAGTGTTACTGTTACAATAAAGTACTACAAACTTAGTGGCTTAAACAACAGAAATACATTGTATCACAATTCTGGAGGCTAGAAATCCAAGATGCAGTGGTCTTCTGTGTTGGTTTCTCCTGAGGACTATGAGGAAAAATCTATTCTTTGTCTCTTATCTCATGTTTAATCATTTGGTGGCAATCTTTTTTATTCCTTAGCCTGTAGAATTATTGCCCTGATCTCTGCCTTCATCTTCACACAGTCATCTCCCCTTGTGAGTGTCTGTATCTAAATTTCAACTTTTTAAAAGGATACCAGTCATATTGGATTAGGTTTTACCCTAATGACTTCCTTTTAACTTGATTATCTTTAATAATCAAGTTAAAGACTCCATCTCCAAATATGCTCTTATTATGATGAACTTGGGATTAGACTCCATTATATATGGGGGAGGGGGCAATAGTCAATCTAAAACATCTAGCTCCATTTGCATTAAATAGATTAGGAGTTAAATTGCTTGACCAAGACTATCAACTAGTAAAGAAACCATTACACACAAATATTCTTGCTCACTCCATGGTCCTTGCTCTTAAAGCCCTCTGTTCTCTGTGGAAGTGGAGATGATAACACTTTCCAGGAGCACTTTGAAAATCTCGGGATATTTGCCTCAATAATTAGGGAGGTGCTTTTGACATTTAGTAGGTAAGAGTCATAAATGCTAAATATTCTGTAGTGTGTGGGATGGTCTTGCAATTGGAGATTGTTCAGTGTCTTGAATGATGTGCTAGTACCCCGTCAGACTTTCCAGGAAGTTAGCATTGGTTTCCAATTACTGAACTCAGAACTTAATGCACAAAGTGTTTTTGGAAAGCTTTGATTTCCCACCAAATTTCAGAGAATAAAACCACAGTGTTAAGTGAGGGAATATTGAATTTTATTTTGTTCAGAATTTCACCATTTCAGAAAATCTTGTCACTGACTCACAGTGCTTGTCACTGGTACAGTATTTCTACCTGCATAGACTCTGCACTTAAAGCTCATGCATTTGCAGTGATCTTACAACTTGATCCAATTAGTCAACAGCTTTATTTTATCTTCTGCTCTAATTGGTCATATTCTTGTTTGGATATATATTTTCACTTTGCTGTCATGTTACAGCTAAAATATGTATATAGATTTTCTGAAGTTTTATTATTATGATTTCATTTATAAGTAATAAAGAGAGAGATATGAGTATTTGCAATAAGAGGGGATTTGGTAGTTTGATAGAATTATGGATAACACAAATTCACTCATTCCCATGTCATTCTTGAGGTTTGCCACTTCCACGCACTTCCTGAATTATTCTACTTAATGTTTTTCTCTATATAGATTCACTTTGTTTTTCTTAAATAAATTGAAAGCAAAAAGAAAAACACTTAAATCATTAGTCTGTATGGAAAATCAGGATAACTAGCTTCAAATAGAAGGCAACCATTAATATACAATTGTTTTAAAACGTTAAGGTTTAAAAATAGAAAGCGTACCATGAAATTTAAATTATAATAAACCTAAATGATTATATTATGCCAAGTAATGTGTTATTTTATTTAATTTTCTAAATAACCCTTTAAATAAGATGAATTATAACTCATTTACAGGT